AAGTGATTTCTTGATTCAGCAGTAATCAGGTCTGTGTGTGGCTAGTGAGATTTAACTCCGCTTTCTAAAATAATGTGCTTGATTGCAGTTCTTTCATGATTTAACAGGAGGGGGCAATTCATTTTTCACATAGGACCAGGTAGGTTTGGACAGCTTTTTTCCCTTAATAAATGACATTTTGTATTTACTCGGGTTTTCTTTGTGTAATATTAAAATGTTTTGATGATCTGAAACTTTTAAGTGTGACAAATATGCAAAAAATTTAAAAAAACAGGAAGCGGGCAAAAACCTTTTCACGGCACTGTATACATGCTTGTTTGTTTGGTTGGTTGATTTATTAATTGACATGATCCTGGTTTTGTGGTTTGATCTTCATGGTGTTTGCTGATGGATTGTTTAATTATCAGTATGATGTGACATTATGAAAGGCTTGTGTTTGTGTAATGCATCCTAATGGCGTGTCTGTGAATGTAAGGGCAGATTCTCTCTGATCTCCATTAGAAACCTTCATTTATCTGTTTACCGAGAGGACGGTGTGTTTGTGAGGTTTAGGTTGTTTTTGTAATTTTACTGAACTCTTTTCATGTGTAATGTTTAACTACTGACGCTTTAACACTGACCTGCCTTTAGTCTAACTGGGTGAATCTTATCAAAAGCCGTCATGAATGAGTTATATTTCACCTCAAAATCAAGAAGAAATCAGAGAAATCAGAAAATGAAGCCTGTTTTTAGGATTTTGAAATGATATTTATCTCATTATTATTAATGTGGAAAACATATTATTGTAAAATGCATGTGTATTTTTATTTATATGTAACAGTATTTATACAGCTGCCTTTAAATAATTAATTATTAGCAGTAGAAGTGATTTTGCAGTGCAGTCATGAAATGTAAATTTTGTTAACATTTCAGTGCAAAAATTGCATGTATATTTTTTTTTGACAATTTGATGGTGAAATGTAACCTGTTTTTTGAGACATTCACTCAACATTTTCCAGTTAAGTACTCTGAAAAAATAGGCTACTTTGAAACAGTTTTTGCTTGTAAATGTCAGAAATCATTTCAAAGAAATGGCAAGTAACATATTGAATAAATGCGCAATTTTGACTGAAATGGTGTTTTATTCGAAAACACATAATCTTTGTTTTATTGAAACTTTGTAAACTCATTGTGTGCAGTAAATCAGCAGCTCATGGTCGAGTGATTTAGGTCATGTGTCTGAAGGCTGGTTCGATGACTCTGGCTTTAATTAGTATAGCCTGTATTAGTGATGTCAGCAGTTCTTTACAGGCTATGCTAATCTATGCCAGAATCATCAGTGCACTGGATCAGAGTTTCTTCTGAAGAGTCGTCACCTCGTCATGTGACTGGGTTTCAGGTTGTTTGTGATTATGAGCATTTATTGGGAAATAAACCTGTTTTACTACAGCACAACTAGCTCATATTGATCGATTACTTGTGTGTGTATTAAATTCTTTGTTACACAGAGAAACTCAAACACTCAAAACTCAAACACAAAAACAAAAACGTTTGAGTGTTTGTGCATTATGAACGTACAGAACATTGATCTACAAAAGTGAATGTGTTCTTTATTCCTGGACTACACACACACACACACACACACACACACTTCATCTGATACACCACTACTGCTACTCTTGAACGTTACGACTGTATTTATTTACTTATTTGAACCATTATTAATTGCATTTTATCATTATAAGTCTGATTTACACATGCACAGAATTGGTGTAGACACAATTTTTATTAAATTAGTTTAATTATAAATCTTTCATAATTGCTTGTTTAAAAAATGCAAATGTTAATCAAATGTGTGTTTATGAGTTTTTTTGGCAGTGTTTCACAGTGAAGGAGCGGAGCGGAGCGTGTGTGTGTTTCTGAGAGCGATGGAAAACGTTTGTTTTTGCTGCATGAAGCCTCGAATAACTCAAGTGGAGTTTGGGGGAAAATTAAGCCAAATATCTTCTAATCATAATTTCTCATTGTGGTTTCTCAGCAGAACAGAATGTTTGGCAGTTTGCCATGATCTTTATGAGTAATAGCTGATCAGATAAATAAATCATCATTCCAAAGCATTCCAAAGTGTTTATATGATATTAACCAACATCACAAATAAACACTTCAGATATTTTCATTCTGTCTCTTCGCTGACAGGAGAAACATTGTCTTATAAATAAATCTGAGGCAGATCTTAAGTTGTTTTTGTTGAATTGTTAAACTCAAGTTGTTTTGAAATAGACCTGGGCTTGATCTTCTGACTCTCAGCTGTCAATCAAACGCAGCGGGATTAAAGCCCGCCTCCAGCAGGACAGGCTGATGGTTTTAATGGAGATCTCAGCGCTCGGTCCACTAATGCGTTCAGAGCTTTATGAGACTCTCTGCTCCGCTGGGATTTGAGTCGAGAGAGAAACCACAGTAAACTTTACAAACGACACAACAACAGCTCCACAGAGTTTGTGTTTAATACAATCCACTGTTCAGAAGTTCAGTCCAGTGCTTTCATGTTTCTGCTCACCGAGACTGCATTTATTTGATCAAAAATACAGTAAAAATAGTGAAATATTATTTCAATGTACAACAGCTGTTTTCTCTGTGAATCTCTGTTAATCTGTAATGTATTTCTGTGATGTGCAGCTGTATTTTCAGCATCATTGCTCCAGTCTTCAGTGTCACATGAACTTCAGAAATCAGTATAATATGCTGATCTGCTGCTCAAGAAACATTTCTGATTATTATCAATGTTGGAAACAGTCGTGCCGCACAATATTTTTGTGGAAATTTAATTTTTCAGGATTCACAGATGAATAGAAAGTCCAAAAGAACAGCATTTATTTGAAATGGAAATCTACTGTAACCTTTAATAATGTCTTTACTGTGACTATTGATCAATTTAATGCGTCTTTGATGAATAAATATATATATTTTACTGACTACAAACCTTTGAATGGTAGAGTGTATTTTGTCCTCTTTCAGAAAGATTCAGAAGAGGAAAATGATTAGATTTGTCTGTCTGAGGTCAGTTAAAGGCCTTCAGATGTGAGCGTGAGTGTGTGATTGTGAGTGTGAGTGTGTGTGTGTGTGTGAGCGTGTGTGTGTGAGTGTGAGTGTGTGAGTGTGAGTGTGAGTGTGTGTGTGTGTGTGAGCGTGTGTGTGTGAGTGTGAGTGTGTGTGTGTGAGTGTGAGTGTGTGAGTGTGTGCGTGCGTGTGTGAGCACTTGTACAGCTATCTTTGTGAGGGCCGGTTTGAGTTTTAGACCATCAGAGTGAGGACAATCTTGTAAAGTGAGGACAATTTTTAAAGGCCTGTTTGAGGGTCAAGACTTGGTTTTAGGGGTCAGGTTATAATTGGGTAAAGGGTAGGTTTAGGGTAAGGAGCTAGCGATTGCATTGTGTCAATGTATGTCCTCACAAAGATAGCTATACAGCATTGAGTGTGTGTGCATGTGTGTGTAATATTAAGGACCACATCTAGAGAGGATATTAAAACATTCACAGTCTGAATTAGGTTTGTAAATGGATCATGTAGGTTAATATTATGGACATTCATTTATTTGAATAATTCTGCTATTCAGCGGTGTTATGAGTTAAAGCCGTCTCATGATGTGAATCAATATCATATATGACCCGAAGCCTGTGGATGAAAACAACATTATGAGGCTGATGACTGAATACAGACATGATGAGCAGAGACACGAGATACAGAGACGAGATCTCAGCAGCAGATGATAGTTTCCTCCTCTTTCTCTCTCTCTCTCTCTCTCTCTCTCTCTCACACACACACACACTCTCTCTCTCTCTCTCTCTCTCTCTGCTTCTCTCTCTCTCTCTCTCTCTCTGCTGTTCCCTCTCTCTCTCCCTCTCTCTCTCTCTCTCTCTCTGCTGTTCTCTCCAGCTCTTCATCATCTGTTTCTCTTTCCTTCTCATCTCTCTCCGGCGTCTCGTCTCTTGTCAGGCTGATCTTGTATCCGTCCACAGTTTGACGTTGAGTTTTGTCGGTGTGCAATCAAACTCAAACATCCTGCAAACATCAGACAATCACTGCGAATCTTCCTCTTGCTGTGGATCACGACGTCCTCAGATACTCACAAACGTCTCAAGCACCTCAAACTCAAGAGCTTCACAGTGTAAAGCAGTTAAAGATGCTGTAAGCAGAGTCACAAATAAAAGGATGCCACCACCTGACAGATATCAGAGCTATAGCGGTTATGAGAAATAAAGAAGTATGTAATACACTCTAAAAAATCTATAAAAAAAGGGCACAATGTTCTAAATTAATTTTTTTACAGGTGTTTTACCTGCATTTTGAATTTTACACTGCATTGCGTAAAAACACGCACATACAGTACATAAACAAACACACATATATAAACAAAAACTTTTATTTTGGATGCGATTAATCGTTTGACAGCACTAAATATAATATATAATTTTTATAGTTAGTTTATTTTTTAATAGGAAACCCGTCACATAATGATATATTACAATGTAATATAGAGTAATATAATGTAATTTAAAAAATGTTAATATAATATATGATTTTTGTAGTTAGTTTATTATTAATATAATGTAATATTTTTGTATTCATATGCTTCTCTCATGCTAACGATTGAATGCTAATTAATTTTTTTGGACAAAAAAACAAAAAAAACATGACCCTTTAAGACTTGCACATTTGTTTGCTTACTGCTTGTTTTATATATATATATATATATAAAGACCTCTAACACTAGTTTTCTCTATTCTTTTTCTATTCTATTTATCTGTTTTCTTTTTATCTATTATATAATTAACAAAAAACAAAAAAACTCGCTATGTGTACTGCGTTAAGCTAACTGAGACTTGTTATAGCGCTTGTATATCATTGCTCTTTTGTTGATTTTGATTGCTTGCATTGTCCTCATTTATAAGTCACTTTGGATAAAAGCGTCTGCTTAATGACTAAATGTAATATCTCTCGTCTGTCAGCTTCGTCCACAGAATATGCCACCATGAACCTGACGCTGAGCTCCGAGCCCGGATTATTCCTGACCGACAGCTCCCCGGGGATGCGGGCCAATCCCGTCACAGCGTTTGTACCACATGACATCCAGACCGCCAATGATTCGCAAGCCACCAATCTGACCGCCAATGCCACTCTCGGACACACAATCTGGCAGATCGTGATGATCGTGTTCCTCTGCGGCTCGCTTTCCATAGTTACCATCACCGGGAACATCCTGGTCCTGGTGTCCTTTAAAGTCAACAAGCAGTTGAAGACGGTGAATAACTACTATTTGCTCAGCCTGGCGTTCGCAGACCTCATCATCGGCGTGCTTTCGATGAACCTCTACACTACGTATATAATCATGGACCACTGGGCGCTTGGGAACTGGGCCTGCGATCTGTGGCTTGCCGTTGATTATGTAGCCAGCAATGCTTCAGTGATGAACCTGCTGGTCATCAGCTTCGACCGGTACTTCTCCGTCACGCGTCCGCTGACGTACAGAGCCAAACGCACCACTAAGCGAGCCATGACCATGATTGGATTGGCCTGGTCCATTTCGTTCATCCTCTGGGCGCCAGCTATCCTCTTCTGGCAGTATTTCGTCGGGGAACGAACGGTTCCTCCGGATGAATGCTACATCCAGTTCCTCTCGGAGCCGATCACCACTTTCTGCACAGCCATCGCTGCTTTCTATCTGCCTGTTACCATCATGACCGTCCTCTACTGGCGGATCTACAAGGAGACGGAGAACCGCTCCAAAGAGCTGGCTGGACTCAAGGGTTCGGGGAACCAAGGGAGTCCGGAGGAATCCGTGCAAAAATGGTACGAGCTGGTAACAATATTACACATACAGAAAATGATTAGAACACTACGCTAAAAATGGTGTTAAGTCAGTTATTTCTATATTTTGCTGTAGTGTGTCAGTAGGAAATATCAGTTTGCGTGTCCAATAGTGCTGTCAAACGATTAATCGCGATTAATCGCATCCAAAAAAAGTTTTGTTTACATAATATGTGTACTGTATATATTTATTGTGTGTATATAAATACAGACACAAACAGTATATATTTTGAAAATGTTTACATGTATATATTTTAGTGCTGTCAAACGATTAATCATGATTAATCGCATCCAAAAAAAGTTTTTGTTTACATAATATGTGTGTGTGCTATATATATTTATCATGTATATATAGATACAAACACATGCATGTATATATTTCAGAGAAATATGTTATTTTATATATTAAATATATTTCTTTATAATATAAATTATATGAATATAAATATGGACATGTAAATATTTTCAAAATATATACTGTATGTGTTTGTATCTATATATACATAATAAATATACACAGAACACACACACATATATTATGCAAACAAAAACTTTATTTTGTATACGGTTAATCGCGATTAATTATTTGACAGCACTAATTTCCAAACATTCATTTGGCCATTAATTGTAATAATGCAGTGAGATATATGTTAGTGCTGCACACAGAGCTCTGATCTGATCATCATCAGTCTGTCTGGAGTCACATGAAGAAACAGAACAAACTGAGACAGACTCGATCCAGAAGAACTGATGCTTCAAGAAACCTCCTGCAAAGCTACAGTGCTGTTAAAAAGTTTTAGGCACTTGTGTAAAAATGCTGTAAAATGAGAATGCTGTCAAAAATAATGCCATAAACAGATTTTCTTTATCAATTCACTTCTATTAACTGAATGAAATCAACATTTGGTGTGAGCATCTTTGTGTTTAAAGCAGCTTTTGCCCTCGGTGCACTTGAGCAGAGCTTCTCAGGAGCTTCGCAGGAGCTTTCTTGAAGCATGAGGAAAACCTCTCTTAGTTTTATTAGTGAAAGTTCTCGATTTTTTTCTATACAACACTGAACCACAATTTCTTTACTAAAATATACACACTATTGATTCATTGATTCATGATTCATTTTTTACAGCTCACGCAGTCACAGCAGTTATGAGCTCCACCAGAGAAACTCAGGGAGGACCAAAGCGGGGCGTTTTTGGTTCTGGCCGTTGAGTCGGAAAGCTCGGAAGAGTCACGGCAGCGAGATGGACCGCAGTAGCAGTGATAGCTGGAATAATAACGAAACCGCCGTGTCCGTCGACCAATCGGATGATGAGGAGGAGGAAGATGGAGAAGCCGTGTGCTCGATCTCTGAGAACCTCCACCAAGATGCGAGACCTTCCAGAAAGGGATTGGACTCCAAAGCACCCAAAGATCAACCCAACGCCAAAGATGGCAAACGCTTCGCCTGCAAGGCCAAGACGCAGGTCAACAAGCGCAAGAAGGTCTCTCTGGTGAAAGAGAAGAAAGCGGCGCAGACGCTGAGCGCCATCCTCCTGGCCTTCATCATCACGTGGACGCCTTACAACATCATGGTCTTGGTGAACACCTTCTGCGACGAGTGCATCCCCGAGACGCTGTGGGCTCTGGGATACTGGCTGTGCTACGTCAACAGCACCGTCAACCCCATGTGTTACGCGCTCTGCAACAAGACCTTTCGCACCACCTTCAGATCCATCCTGCTGTGCCAGTGGCGTCAGAAGAACAAACCCAACAAACCGCAGCTCCAGCAGAGACGGCCAGCGGACGCTTACCAGAAACAGAGTCCCGCGGAGAACTAGAGGAACTCTGTGCATCGTTTCTGAAGGGCTGTACAGTATTCATGTTTATATTCGCTCTGGGCAACGATTAATCGCGTCCAAAATAAAAGTGTGTACATGATATATGTGTATATTTACTACGTATATATAAATAAATACACACACATGCATGTATATATTTAAGAAAAATATGTTATGTTTATAAATATATTTATATATAATATAAATTATATGAATATATACATGTAAATATTTTCAAAATATGCACTGTATGTGTGTGTCTTTATATATATATATTTATATATATACACAGTAGACACACATCTGTGTCCCTGCAGCACAAAAGCAGTGTTGAGTCGCTGGGGGATATTTGTAGCAATAGCCAACAATACATTGTATGGGTCACAATTATACATTTCTCTTTTATGCCAAAAATCATTAGGATATTAAGTAAAGATCATGTTCCATGAAGATATTTTGTAAATGTCCTACCGTAAATATATCCAAACTTAATGTTTGATTAGTAATATGCATTACTAAGAACTTCATTTGGACAACTTTAAAGATGATTTTCTCAATATTTAGATTTTTTTGCACCCTCAGATTCCAGATTTTCAAATAGTTGCATCTCAGCCAAATATTGTCCGATCCTAACAAACCATACATCAATGTAAGATTATTTATTAGCTTTCAGATTATGTATAAATCTACATTTTGAAAAATGGACCCTTATGACTGCTTTTGTGCTCCAGGGTCACTCAGGGTGTGTTTCTTACCTGTGTTGATGTGTTTTCTACTGAAACAGAGAGTCGTGCGGGACATGCAGTATTTAAGGGCTCATGTTTTTTAACCCTCTGGTGTTGTTCAGTCATTTTAGACCGAAAAAAAAAAAATGTTTGGAAATTTTTTAAATCGCTACTTCATCGGAAACTCTGTGACTTTTGTGGCAGTTGCTATGTGACCCCCCCCCCCCACAGCAATAAAGGGGTGACAAAACTTAAGTAATTATGCCTGAAAACACTGCTCAGTAACTAAGGAATGCACAGCACTGAATATATGGCTATACAGGCATCTAATGGCTACTTCATGGTATTACAGATGATTTTCTTTACTTTTTTTCACAAGGTGGAACACATCTGCCTCAATTCAATGAATTTTAAATACTTTTGCTCTATTTTTAACTTAAATACTGCATTCATTGAAAAATTATATACATTTTTTTTATCATTATAATTGTTTTTTTTTACAATTTATACAGAAAATAGTTCATAATTTAGATATGGATATTAATTAGTAACATGAAACACACTCAAAATGTAAAATATTAAAGAAAAAACAATATTGAAATGAAATGAAGTATATTCATTTAGCAAAAATTACATTTTTACACTATTATGTCCTCCGATCAGTTTAAGCCGTGAATAACACGACTCCCAAATGAACAATACCAGAGGGTTAAATCATTCACTTTGTCCAACCCTACATTATCTTCTCACAGGTTTGGCTCGTGATGTACATAAAATAAGTTTCATTTTGACTTTAATTTAATGCTAAAGGAAGAGTTCACCCAAAAAATTTCATTCTGTCATCATGTACACACCCTCAAAGCTTTCTGTCTTCTGCTGAACACAAAAGAAGATATTTTGAAGAATGTTGGGAACCAAAAGTAGCTGCTAGACGTTGACCTCCATAGTATGAAGAAAATACTACGGACGTCAACATTTTTGGGTGAACTATCCCTATTCACATTCACTGTTTATGTGTTTCATTGGGGTTTATGTGGATGTTTTGTGATGCTCCAAGTCGTGGTTCTCTGTGATTTTGTACTTTCAGCTCTGAACTGTTCTACTGCTGAAACGAACTTCTACTGGGTTTGATTTCGCCCTCGTGAATGTTTTAAAAATGTATTTCCACTTTAAGTCAAGTGCACACTACAAAACCAAAGCACTTCATGTTTTTAGGGTTACACTTTATTTCGATAGTCCACTTTAGACATTCTGCTAACTACAAGTATCTTTGCAACTACATGTCAACTAGCAGTCATTCGAGTATTAGTAGACCGTCTGCTGAATATCTGCTAACACAACAGACATCCTACTAACTATAAGCAGTGCTGGGTAACTGATTACATGTAATCTGGATTAGGTAACCAGATTCCAAAAATTAAGTACTTGTAATTAGATTGTACTACACTTCAAAACAGTTCATGATGTTGACGTGAGGAAAATTGTAGTTTGTTACATAATATATTGGATTACACATATTTGGTAATGTATTGACTACTTTTGATTAGGCTACTTTTAGATTACTTTTGGCGTAACTCGTAAGAAAATGTATTCTGTTTTTTAATGTAATTTGTAATTAATAACAGATTACAATTTGTAAGTAATCTGCCCAGCACTGACTATAAGTATTTTTGCAAGTGTATGTCAACTTATTCTACTAACCCTAACCAAAAGGTCTACTAATACTCTAATGAGAGTTAGTTGACATGCAGTTGCAAAGTTACTTTAATGTCTATCGTAATAAAGTGTGAGAAAGTGATAAAGTGTGAGAATGCAGCAAAAAAACTCCAGACTGCAACCTGAAGTTGTCATGTCTAATGCAAAAACTGTAAGTACTGAAGTACAATTAAATGAGGAAACTTTTTATTTCAAATAAATCATTGGCTAGATACTTGTGTAAAATATTGAGATTAAAAGTACGATTCCTCTGTACTTTTAAACCCCTGAGAGCAGAAACGAGCCAGTAAAACGGCAAGAGGCCGAGGCCGTGGGAAGACGGAGCCAAAAAAAACCCTGCTGCCCACGTCTCCTTAAACACTGTCGCATCCCTGGTTTTTGGCTTCTTTTTTCCTGTTCTGTGCAAATCAGTGTAAAAAACAAGTGCAAAACCCTCCTGCATTCTGAGAAGAATAAACCGCAAGAACTCATACTGGGATTCAGTCGGGGAGGAAATGACCGTGTGATTTCTGCGTTATGGATCAGTTGCGTAGTATGCATTACTGTAGCCCAAACAGTAGATCATGGCTTGCAACAGCAAGGTCATAGGTTCGATTCCCAGGAATGCATGAACTGATCCAGTGTATACCTTAAATGCAATGCAAGTCACTTTGGATTTAAGCATCTGCCAAATGCATAAATGTAAATGGCTTGAACAGATCATGGCTTGCAACAGCAAGGTCATGGGTTCAATTCCTAGTGAATGCATGAACTGATCAAATGTAGACCTTGAATGCAATAGATATGAAATCGTCTGCCAGTTGCTTAAATGTAAATGTATGTGAACCGATATGACACAAAACACAAAGCTGTGAGTGTTAAATGTCCTTCTGTCTTGTAGTGTGCACTTGATCCTCTTCTTTATGTTTTTACAGCAGATAATTAGTGCAAAAACAACTTCAAGCTGGTCCAGGAGTGTCTGCGGCAAAAAAAATACCCTGTAAATGTACAATGTGGGAGGAAAATGATCAATAATGAATTCCTCTATTATTTGTGATATGTAATATCTGATTATTGTGTTCTATGCATATCCGGTTGGGAGTTTAGTGCCTGTTTCTGTCAGATTATGTGTAGTTCAGATTGTTTTTGAATACGAAACCAAGATGGAGTGGCGTTTGATTACAAATAAATAAATATGGCGTTTTTATATCTCTGATCATGAAGAGGGATTTCAGATTTACTCGTGGTAAAAAGTGTATTTCTCACGACTGGCTGATAATATCGGTCTGTGCTGTGAACATGTGCTGTTTTTCCAGTATGTTTGGAGTAAAAGATGGCTTGCTCAGAGATCATGTCAGATTCGTGTTGTGCAGCATTACACACTGCTGGAGCAGCAACAGATGGCTCTGATGGTCCAGATACAGTATTGTTGTTTCTGTGATTCTGACTTCAGAAGCTTTTACACGAGCTCAGATCAAATATAGAGTCACACTCCCCTCTAGTGGTCATAATTAAATTCCTTAAAAACAATTATATATACATCTGTTATTTAAACGCACACTTTCTGAAACACTTTGGTGTTCTCTGTTTCTTTATTCAAGACAATATACATCTTTATATTGATTACTATAGCACTGAGAGTGATCAATTATTATAAACTGCTGTAGATAGTTATATGAGTTTTGTCTATACTGAGATGTTTGATCAATAAAACCAACTGTGATTTTGTGGTATATATTTTGTATGATGTGCTAAATGTTCAATGCATTTATCCAGTGCTGTGTTTTTAAACTGTTTTACACAGACTGATATTCTTGTAAAAGCATTCACACGCACAGAAATACAATAAAACATTTAACTAATAATAATAATAATAATAAAGCCATGAGGCATTGGAGTTTTGCATGGCATAAAATTATTCGAGTAAATGTTATGTTTAAATGTAAAAAGCATTAAAGCATAAAAATTTTTTTTATACAAAAGTGACTTATTTATTGGGGTTATTTAAACAAACTTAGATCAAGTTGGACTTTTCTCTGTGTAAAAGTGCATTACAGTTGTTTTCAGTTTTCATCTTCACGTGTCACACAGTTTCTGAAAGCTGACACTCAAACAGCAGAAGCACACACCAAACCTACAAAACCAGACACTGATTCTCAGACTTTGACTTTCAGAAAACACTTTTTGCAAAACACAACACACACTTCTCGATGTAACACACACACATCTAACAGGAATTAATATTATGGCAAATGCTTGCTTTTGAGACGTGTTTGTGATATTTTGAACGCAGTGCTTCGTTTTGCACGAGATGTGAGGCTTTTTGTATTTTGTGTGCAGTTCTTGGATTTGTGTGTGGAGTGTGTAAGCAGTTGGAAACCGCTGTAAATCCACAGATCACAGGTGTTCTGCGTGTAATGACTGCAAGCGGCCGCTGGGTGTCGCTGTCGCCGCAGGGATCGTGCGTCAGGTGATGCACAGCACAGGTGTGGCATTAAACCTGCCGGCGGGAAAGATGCACACACACACACACACACACGGTTATGAGGGAGGTTTAAATATGCAGCAGTGATTCATGAG